TTGAAAATCCATTTTATTCTGATGTTCTAAATAACTTTGTGAGAAAATCATTTTAATTTCTGGTGTAAAACATGGATTACACAATTGACATTCTACACGAAAACAATCATTACATTCTATACATAATTCTGGTAAAACCATTATATTCTTGTCAGCTACTTCCATTTGTTTTTCCATTTTATTTCTAAAATATAAATTAAAATTTTTTTAATAATATACCTTAAAAAATTTTTAATTTAATTATAAATTTATGAGACCTTATTTTTAAAGAATCTTTTCTGATTCTTTGTCCTATACCGACTAATGAAAATAAATTGAATATAATTTGTTCATAAAGTAATTGATTTGCTGGATAATGTGCTGAGGATAAATTTGGAGACATATTTGCCTCCATGATATATACATTTAAATCTTCATCAAGAGCAAAATCAATTCTAATTAATTCGAAAAAATTTCTTTCATTTCCAAAACGTTTTACAGCTTTTATAATATAACTCTCTTTTAACAAAATAATTTCTTTGATTGCTTCATATATATCATTCCAAATTTTTTCTGGATATTTTCCATGCGAACGTACATATGCGTCGAATGAATTTTTCATTGAAAATTTTAATTTAGTATAATAATGTTTCAAAGATGGAACATTCCAAATTGGCAAGTAATCATCACCAACTATATATTTGTCTAAAATTTCAGAATTGAATGGATAATATTTTATGGGACAAAATCTAAAAAGAACATCACCTTTATATGCATATACTCTAAGAGGATTCACAGATGTAATTACGACATATATTCCAATATCAAATTTATATCCATCTATAAGAAATGGTCGCTGTATAAATTCTTGCATAAAAGATCCAATTTCTGTTACACTTATTTCGCTTGTATTTTTTATACTAATACCCCGATGATTATTCGATTTTTGTACAAATATTTTCTCGGAATGTTGATTAGAATATAAAAGAAATTCTTCATATTGTTCTGGTATTTTAAATGCTGGTAAGATATAGCGACTTTCTGATGTCGATAAATCTACTTTATTTGTAATGTATCCACAACCAGGAAAATGATTAATTCGTTGATGAGATTTCAATTTGTTCATACTAAAATTTAAAGTTCTAAATGGGTAATCATGTGCCCACAGTAAATCCCAATTATATTCATCATGAGTTTGTTTAAAACCCAAACGTTCTAATACGATAAATACATGTTTTAAATGTTCAATATTATTACTTCTTGTATATATTCGATACAATGGATTTCTTTCTTTCATTTCTAATACTTTTATTTGCATTTTTGTTAAATTTTCATGGTAGTATAAAAAAGAAAAAAATAAATAATATAAAATTATTGGACCCATTATAGAATATAAAAAAATTTTTAAAAATGTTTTCATTTTTAAACTAATCATTTGAGTATAAATTGTAGAATGAACATTCTAAAAACAATTTAATTATTAATTTAAATAATGAAAATAATATAACTTAAAAAGATTTACAAACCTGTTTATTCAACATGATTAAATATAAAAATCTAATCTTAATAAAATTATATATATTTATAAAATTATAAATATATATATATAAACATGTATATGTATATATATTTGTGATCAAACCATTAAATTTTAGTCATTTAAAGTACCGTTATAAATTTCTCTACATTATTCACTTCTAAATGAGAACATACATTTAAGAATTAGTTTCTATACAATAAATCGCCTATATTATATTCTGTTTTTCAAATATTCTATTTACTTTTCTTTAAAATAACTTTAATGAAATAAAATATGCAAAATTATTTTTAGTAATAAAATTTATTTGATTTATTATAATATTTATTATTATATATTTACTATTTATTTATATTTATATGCTTACTATTTATATTATATTATTAAATTATATTTTTTATACAATTTTAATATATATGTATATATAATAATACGCATGTAAAATAAATATACATATTAATACATATTAACGACATATTAATATTTAAATATATTTAAAAATTGGCGGAAAATATATAGAACATTACTGTCATGAATAATGTATTAAATTAATACACAGATAAGAATAGATATTTTTTATTTAATGTATTTTTATATCCATATTTAGAAGCATTAGGGCTCCTTTACAGAGTTTTTTCCTTACTATTTTAATATTATTCTTATTATATATTTTCCTAAAATAAAATTAAATTTTGGGCAATAAGTAAATTTAATAAATCCATTTTTATAAAAAAATTTTACAAATTTATTTTTATTAAGTTATAATATAAAATATGTGCATAATTTTTAATTCATGAATAATTTAACTCATACATGAATCTGTATTAGGAATATATAACAATTGAAAAATTTATGAATACAATATATAATGCATGGTAATATTTATAAAAAAATGTCAAAAAATTATTTTTAAAATTAATTAACTTTTATAATTGAATTGAATATAATTTTTTCATTTTAAATTGTAGAGGATATATCAAACACTATAATTTTTTGCGTATAGTATTTAGAACATTTATCATTTATTATTGTTAATTGTAAATTTTAAAAATAAAAATTTATTCATATGCTTAGGATTTAATAAAATCAGAAAAAAAAGTTCAGTTATCGTAATAATCAATGTTTCATAGTCATCTATATTATACATATACAAGAATGATTAAATCGAAAAATATAAATTTCTATATTTTATTTTTTATTAACATATTATAGACTTAATTTATATCATATTTATAATTTTTGTAATAAAATTGGTTTTTAATTTTAATTAATAAATCTTTTTATATTGAATCGATAACGTCACTTGTGATACAAAAACATTAAGCATTAACAAGTGAATTTGAAGAGCATTAAAAAGCATTGCATATCACATCTAGTTCATATCTTATCTGTGACTAACATTGTTTTCGATCTTTTAGATTCTTGAATCGGTGTAGTTATTATTTCAATAAAAAAGAAATGGGATTTCAAAATATTTGGTATTCGCATCCGCGAAAATATGGACAAGGATCTAGGTCTTGGTAAATATATTACTATTTTTTATTTTATTATACTTCAAATAAATAAATTTGTATCAAAAAATTATATAAAATATATTTGACCGCGTGTCAATGTTTTTTCTATATATATCATCATATATTTTATTCAACAAAAATTGTTTTAAAATATTAATTGCTATATTATTATTATTTATTATTAATTATAAATGATATTTAAAAAAAAACTTTTCTGTATTTTTTAATATTTTTAATAATGATAAGATAACCTTAATATTACAATTAATCATATTATTTTATAGTCGTGCTTGCGCAAATAGACATGGATTAATTCGCAAATATGGTTTAAATATTTGTCGACAATGCTTTAGAGAATATGCTGCTGATATTGGTTTTAAAAAGGTATAAAATTTGATCTTTTAAATTTAAAATATATATATCTTTATATATTTATTTTCAATTTTCTTTTACAGTTGGATTAATATTGCAACAATTCCTAAATTCATTCAAATGTGAATCCCATATAACACATTAATTGATGAAATTGATGAAATTTTTATTGACAACATTATTTTGAAAAATTAAATTATGTTGTATTCTATATAATTATAATAATAAAAATAATTATTTTATGAAATATTAGTATCATTGATTTTATTAATTTTCGTGTATTTTTATAAATATATGTTTTTATAATATACAATTTATAAAAACATTAGTATAAATTAGTGTTAAGTAAAATTTTTTAATTAAATTAAGTTAAAATTACCTTAGATTTGAAAATTATATTTTTCAAAAAATTAATGCGTTGTTTAAATTTATGGATATATACAATCTTACATAAAAAAGTCTATTTTAAGATAATTTTGTTCATATTTATGTGGACTATATAGAATGTATAGATTTACAGAAATCAATAGATAAGACTCAACTAGTAATTTTTTAAGCAATTTCAAGCCATTTTTTTTTTTACAAAAATTTTTACTTCGGTTTTATTAACGAGTTATTAAAAAAAAACATTAACCAATCATAGAGTGTTAGAGTGTTATGTACCACCAGTGAATTATTAGATTTAAACAAACAAGTTGAAATAAATATGCTGAACAATTATTAAATAAAAATTATATCGAGTTATATTACTTACAAACTATGAATAAATTAATTATCTTGTTCATTGGCCAAAAATCATTTTTACTATATTATCAATGATTCAATACGATTCATTCCCTAGATGATTATATTTTTCTATGTCTGGCAATCTTGTTTTTCACAATATCAAATAAACATGTTTTAAATGTATATACGTAGACAATACAATATACGAGTTATTTATAAATATATATCTTAAATAAAAAATAATATTTGTATATTTGCATATATTTCTTAAATGCAAAATATGGTATTTATAAATCCTCTACATTATACAAGTCTACTTGGAGATTCTGCATCATACGTTTGGCGAACTTTTGAAGCAGTAAGTTGTAAATTTATTAAAAAATTTAATAAAAAAAAAAATGATTTCTACTTTTATTATAATTAAAATATATTTAAATGATCTTGTATAAATATTATGAAATTAATTTATTACAACTAATTTATTAAAACTGTATTATAACTGTTTATTGATATGATGTTAAATTTAATGACATCGAATTATAAACATTTTCGGAAAATAAAATTAATGTAATATTAAATATTTATTCTATATCGTTATAATCATTAAATTGAATCATTAATTGTAAAAATAATCATATTTTTTAAAATTATGATTTAATATTTATAACAGAAATTAAGAATTATGAAGTTTATCTATTATTTTTATTTTTATAAAAAATCTTTTAAGTAATATTAAATATGCAATATCATAATTATAAATATTATAAATAATATATATATTATTATTTTTAGAATCTTTTTAGCAAGTTAAAATACAATTTGTACCTAATAGAATTTATTACTTGTAATTACAACTTGAACTATTATTTTATATATGTATATA